TACTAAATAAGGCTTTTCTGACCTCATTATTTTAATGTATTTATTATAAAATATTTCAAACATACAGAAAAATACAGAGAATTCCATAACAAAGATGTGTGTGCTTGTGTGTGTTTGCGTGTGTCACCCAACACCATCAAATCTTAGATTTGTAAAAGTTGCTGTAGGGCTTCCCTGGTGGTGCAGTGGTTGAGAGTCCGCCTGCCGATGCAGGGGACACGGGTTCGTGCCCCGGTCCGGGAAGATCCCACATGCCGCGAAGCGGCTGGGCCCGTGAGCCATGGACGCTGAGCCTGTGCATCCGGAGCCTGTTGCTCCGCAACGGGAGAGGCCACAACAGTGAGAGGCCCGCGTACCGCAAAAAAAAAAAAAAAACTTGCTCTAGTTAATTGTGGTCTTTTAAGGCCTCATCCCAGATTATCATTCAGAGTTCCAGTTAATCAATTAATAACATTAATTGCTAGAACTAATTTCATACCCTTTTCTCCCTACCCATGGATAACAAATATTCTGTTATTACATATTTATGCATCTGTGAATAATATGTAGTTTTGTTTTGCATATTTTAAGCTTTATTTAAATAGCATTTTACTATATCTAATCTTTTTCAAAAATATTGAGATTTATTCTTGCTGATATATTTAGGTCTAGGTTCTTTATTTGCTCTGAAGTATAGAATTCTAATTTGTGAATATATCATAATTCATTTATCAATATCTGTTAATGGACATTTATCCTATTATGAAGTTGGGCTTTTTGGGGTTACTCCTTATTATTTTAACATGATCTTGTGTAAACACATATAGATACCCAATCAATGCATTCAATGTAAAGTAAAAAAAGGTAAAAAGGGTAACAAAATCTAAAATGCCAATAAGAACAGGGTAGACCATTTAAATTTCTGTCTCTATGAAATTGTCAGAGTATTTACCTCCATTCTGTCTTCTGAAGGAACATAAAACACTTTTACAATTCAATTTTAAATGCACTAGGATCCATTTTTTTAAAAGTGTTAATTGTGAAGCGGGAGACTGTATCATGTGTAATGATCAAGGGGATGGCCTTTAAATTAGATGCCAGTGGGCTCCTGGATCTGCTGTTGTTTAGCTGAGAGACCTGGGCCAAGATACTTAACCTCTAAGTCTCAGTTCCTTGTAAGTAAAACGGAGATAACTGTTGAAGCTAGTTTTCAGAGTTGTTGTAAATGAGATGTAAATGCCTAAAAACTAAGGGTTTGGCATATACTGTACTAAGGAAGCACCAATAAATAGGAAAAAAAAACCCTGCCAACAAATTTGAGAGTCTTTATATTTAGGTATATATATACACGTATATATGTAAATTTTCAGTTATTTAAACAAGCCATATTTTTACATTAAACTTGGGCAACTGTTATTATTATAACAGTGACCTCTGAAAAATATTTGGGGTCGATATTGTAATTATACAGGTAAGCCCATGTATAATGGGATATTTATGTAACCTTAAAAGCTAACCATTAGAATTTGAAAATTTACCATAGAATGCAGAATTCTCATCTTCCACAATTTGTGTTAAAGTAGCACATTAAAGTGGGAAACAGCAGCCTTTTTATTTTTAACACAGTTAAGGATTTGTGAGTACAAAAATGAGTGTTATTTTGTTAGTAACCAAACAAGTACTTTTTAAAAATTTTTAAATTCTATTTTATTTATTTTTTATACAGCACTATAGAATTCTAATTTGTGAATATATCATAATTCATTTATCAATATCTGTTAATGGACATTTATCCTATTATGAAGTTGGGCTTTTTGGGGTTACTCCTTATTATTTTAACATGATCTTGTGTAAACACATATAGATACCCAATCAATGCATTCAATGTAAAGTAAAAAAAGGTAAAAAGGGTAACAAAATCTAAAATGCCAATAAGAACAGGGTAGACCATTTAAATTTCTGTCTCTATGAAATTGTCAGAGTATTTACCTCCATTCTGTCTTCTGAAGGAACATAAAACACTTTTACAATTCAATTTTAAATGCACTAGGATCCATTTTTTTAAAAGTGTTAATTGTGAAGCGGGAGACTGTATCATGTGTAATGATCAAGGGGATGGCCTTTAAATTAGATGCCAGTGGGCTCCTGGATCTGCTGTTGTTTAGCTGAGAGACCTGGGCCAAGATACTTAACCTCTAAGTCTCAGTTCCTTGTAAGTAAAACGGAGATAACTGTTGAAGCTAGTTTTCAGAGTTGTTGTAAATGAGATGTAAATGCCTAAAAACTAAGGGTTTGGCATATACTGTACTAAGGAAGCACCAATAAATAGGAAAAAAAAACCCTGCCAACAAATTTGAGAGTCTTTATATTTAGGTATATATATACACGTATATATGTAAATTTTCAGTTATTTAAACAAGCCATATTTTTACATTAAACTTGGGCAACTGTTATTATTATAACAGTGACCTCTGAAAAATATTTGGGGTCGATATTGTAATTATACAGGTAAGCCCATGTATAATGGGATATTTATGTAACCTTAAAAGCTAACCATTAGAATTTGAAAATTTACCATAGAATGCAGAATTCTCATCTTCCACAATTTGTGTTAAAGTAGCACATTAAAGTGGGAAACAGCAGCCTTTTTATTTTTAACACAGTTAAGGATTTGTGAGTACAAAAATGAGTGTTATTTTGTTAGTAACCAAACAAGTACTTTTTAAAAATTTTTAAATTCTATTTTATTTATTTTTTATACAGCACGTTCTTATTAGTCATCTATTTTATACATATTAGTGTATATATGTCAATCCCAATCTCCCAATTCATCCCACCACCACCACCCCACCCCACTTTCCCCCCTTGGTGTCCATATGCCAATCAAGTACGTTTTATTCTGGATGAGATACCAAGTATGTAAAGAAGAATTTTTAGAAATCACTGTATTTGAAAATTAAGGTGAATAAAATATGGTGATGGAGACTTTTAAGTCGTCACCACAGGTTCTCTATTTTAGGTGTCAAAATGCTGCTCTTTAACACCAAAAGGTGAGTAGGAAAGACTTAGTCATGCTGTGGCCCACCACAATTCTGTGCAAGAATGAGCATTATGTACTCTTAACAGAAGTGGGTTTGTGTAGTTAAATCTTCAATACATGCTAGAGTTCTGGCACAGAAATGGGATGGGTCTAAGCCTGTCTTTTGTATGTTAATGTGCTTTCACAACAAAGGTATGAGAATTAACACAGACAAGTATTCTTGAAGAAAGGCATTTATCTTCTTATTGCCATCTGTGATGAATTGTTCAGAGCTAAAGGAACACCAGGCTTGAACCAAATCTCCTGCTGCCCTATATAGTTTTTGCAGTCTCCTTTTCAATAATATAAAGTCAGGACAGCCTCACTGCCAGACCAGCACTTTTTCAGGAATCTTCCCCATAATATGACAGGATAGAACCATCTATAATACAAATCAACACTGTTATTTTCAAACTAAGCACTTTAAAACATTGCTTGAACAAGAAAAGACAAATTTGTCCAGTTGTGTGCTATTTTGCAGTTAATGCAAGATTACGCTGTGAATTGCATTGCACTGAATGTTACATTTTATTCTGATGCATCCTAAGTTGGACTGGGTAAAGAGTGTTAGATGTTTGATTAATGTTAGTATGCAACGCTATGATTAGGTATGGTTGTTCTTTGAAACTGCCGCACTTTTCTTTTTGTATTGTTCCTTTGATCTTTAACAGGTAATGAGAACATTTGTAATTTAAAATATATTGACTTCGGAGGGGCTTCCCTGGTGGCGCAGTGGTTGGGAGTCCGCCTGCCGGTGCGGGGGATACGGGTTCGTGCCCCGGTCCGGGAGGATCCCGCGTGCCGCGGAGCGGCTGGGCCCGTGAGCCATGGCCGCTGAGCCTGCGCGTCCGGAGCCTGTGCTCTGCAGCGGGAGAGGCCACAGCAGTGAGAGGCCCGCGTACAGCAAAAAAAAAAAAAAATTAATTTAAAATATATTGACTTCGACTCAGAAGTTAATTTTCCTGTTGCAGATTTACTGATATCTAAAATATATAGCTAGCTAGATGGTAAAAAAAAAAAAAAAGTCTGCAAAGAATGATGCCAACTTCTTTCTCTTTTTCAAGTTGTGTCTAAAGGCATTTTGTCTTTTAAATTCTTGAATCTTAATTTAAGGTGAATGACCTTATAAGGTAGTTGCACTTAAATGATCATAGTTGAGCTAATATTGGTTTTCTTGTTCTAGCATAATCTTTGTTTTTCCTATATAGCACAGGATTGGGGAACCATCCTTTTATTTGTTTGTTTAATATATATAGTCATTCTTACAAAGTTTGTTTATATTCCACTAATTCCCTACCAATATATATATATATATATATATTTTTTTTTTTTTTTTGCGGTATGCGGGCCTCTCACTGTTGTGGCCTCTCCCGTTGCGGATCACAGGCTCCGGACGCGCAGGCTCAGCGGTCATGGCTCACAGGCCCAGCCGCTCTGCGGCATGTGGGATCCTTCCGTACCGGGACACGAACCCGTGTCGCCTGCATTGGCAGGCGGACTCTCAACCAGTGCGCCACCAGGGAAGCCCCCTACCAATGTTTTTAAAAAGGTTTTCTGCTACTGAATTCTAATTTTTAGTATGTTTGGTGATTAATACTGTGGTCCCTTCGAGTGATTGAAGACTTTCAATAAAGGGAAAATTTCACACATAACCTTCAGTATTTTAAGAAAACTATATTGTGAAATGCTCCTGAAACTGTATATTTTAACAAGGCCTGCTTTCTATTAAGTGTGTATAAAGCCAGGAGGCAAGTTTCTCAATATTCTAATTATCAGTTATTTCATCTGTCATCTCACATCAAACCCTAATTTTCCTATGGTAGTATTTAACTCACCTGACTTCAGCCACTATAAAAGTATTTCTGTAGCTTGTAAAACATCTAGTTATCACTCTGTCTATTTTAGCTTGTTTGTACTAATGATTTATTTTCATTTTCTCTAGGATATAGACCTGCAGCTAACTGGATTTGATTTATAAGAGGGAAATGTACAGTCAATGGCCACTCTCACTACGTTGCTACTATGGAAAACAGAATGGTCAATAGGATATGGTCTGATAAATAGCGATGATTGAAGATGCTACTTCAATACATGTGAAATCAATGGGAGATCCTGGCTGCAAGAAGAGCTTTCTGAGCTTTTCTTGACAAGCTCGCCTTTGAGAAATCTGAGGTGTATTCTACCGTTATACGGTTTTTCTCAAGTGGATACAAACACCTTTGCCTCACTGCAACCAGACAACTACACAACTGATGTGGGACCATGGCACTGCCCAGATGCATGTGGCCAACTTATGTTTGGAGAGCAGTAATGGCATGCTTGGTACACAGGGGATTGGGTGCCTCATTGACTCTTTGTGTGTTGGGCTGTTTGCTTCAGGCGGCCCACGTGCTCTCACAAAAATTGGATGATGGAGACCCACTGGTGACTACCAACTTCGGCAAGATAAGAGGGATTAAGAAAGAACTCAATAATGAAATTTTGGGTCCTGTTATTCAGTTTCTTGGCATTCCATATGCAGCCCCGCCAACAGGAGAACATCGTTTTCAGCCTCCAGAACCACCATCTCCTTGGTCAGATATCAGGAATGCTACTCAGTTTGCTCCTGTGTGTCCCCAGAATATCATTGATGGTAGATTGCCAGAAGTCATGCTTCCTGTGTGGTTTACTAATAACTTGGATGTGGTTTCATCATACGTACAAGACCAGAGTGAAGATTGCCTGTATTTAAATATATACGTCCCAACTGAGGATGGTGAGTTTACTACAGGAAAAACAGGGAGATATATTTATATTTTTCTATTCTAACAATATTAATTCATGTGTACTGGTAGCATGCATGGCTTTTCCTGTCGGCATGTAGACATATTTTACATGTGTGCATGCAGCTCTTTTTGTTTATGTGTGTTGGCGTTCTTATTTTTTTCCTGTGCCTACTCATTTTCTTTCCTCTGCAGCACGTATATTTAGGTAGAAATGGGTTCCTAATTTCCATTTCCTACCGAATGACTTCTGAGAAGATGCATCAACATTTCTCCATTGCATGTGCAGGCTCACTGAATTGGGGATCTTTCGCACTCAGTAAATGCAGGAGCGTATTAAGTTAGATAGTGGTGTTGCATGTTCCGGCGGTCTGTGATGGAGCGCCATGTTATTTTCTAGTCTTCTATTCATTTTTCAGTAAAAAGAATATCCAAGGAATGTGCCAGAAAACCCGGCAAGAAAATATGTAGAAAAGGAGGTATGTATAAAAGTGAAAATAAAAAATGGGGGAAACAGCTTGCAGAGGAAGAACAAGATATTCTCCCTAAGGATGATTTGCTGATGCTGGGAAGTGAATGGTTAGGCAATATTTGGAATTTAATGAAGCCTGTCAAAGAATAGAAAGATGGTTGAGGAGAGCTCTAGCTGAGTAGATGGCATTGACAAAGCTCATTGGTGGTGCCCTGTGTGCTGGCGCTGGTGGCATGGACAGGAGTTGGATCTCTGCTTTGAGTTTGTGTATAGAGAAAAAGATACTTAGGTTATTACATTGCCTGCAGGGAACCCAAAGATGCTGCCTTCCCAGCTGTTCAGCTTTGATGTATCTCTGAACCCTTTTCTACAGATAATAGATTCCTGTTTCTCTTAAAATTGATCAGTTCAGTCACAAACCTAGTTTTTTGTTTGTTTATCCTTAGTTCCTTCTGAACACCCTGTGAACTTTCTCATGTAAGGGTAAATTTTCCATAACTGTTGGGCAATTACCATTATTAAGTAATGGTATTTTTTCCCAGACAGTCTTTCCATTTTCAGTCACTCTTCCAGAAAAAAATGAGATTTTGCAGCTTTTTATACTAAATATTTACAGTCTTAAAATTGCTTTAACATTTTTATATTTATGTTAAACAATTTAAAACATAGGGAAGAACATGATTCAGAAGCTACAATTAAATCAACCTTCAAAGCATCCTCTAGCCAGATTGAGCAAATGTAGACACTGACAGCTGCAAGCTTGCATCTGAATGTAGCTTGTCCACACTCCATTTTTATAGAACATCTAGTAAATCACTCATAGGAGAGTATGATTTTCTCTGGCAGTAAATTATCTGTGTTATTTTGACCTTATTATAACTTTGTAGAATTTTCAGTCTTCATACAGAAGTCATATTAATATTCCAGTTCTGTACATTCTCTCTCTCTCTGTGCATTTCTAATCTCCTGGCTGGACCAAGTCAGATTTCATTACAACATTCTTGTGGGGTGGGGAACGTCTAAACTGTTTTTTTTCACTGGGATTGCATTATGTGGAAGAAGCTTCCTATCACCAAATCCTCAATTGCAGATCAGAAGTATTTGCATTAAATTGAATTTTGTTTTGTTTTTGTTCTTATTTCCTTGGTCAGACTGATAGAATGGAATTTAACCTTTATTTTATTATTAATGTCATGATTTGGGTTAAAAGAATAGTATACTTAAGAAGGTGGATATGGAGGCAACAAAGGTGTTTTAGATAACTAAAAAAGTCTCTTGTTTTTTTCCCAAATGAGAATAACTGCAGTAATTTATATGCTTTCAACTAATGTACAGTACTGCAGTGGTTATTATTATGCAGCCTATCAAGCATGTGTAATTAGCTAAGTGACTTTTGCCTCCTTTCACAAAGATGTTGATTCACAAAGTCATAAATAAAGATGCTATTGAAGAATGCATAAATATAGCATAATACATAAAAATATGTACAATTAAAAATTGATAAGGACATCAAAAGGTAAGCTAGTAAGTGAGAAAGTGACCTTTTTCTCATACAACTTCAGAAAGAAATGGATTCACTGAAAAATTCTTTTTCATGATTCTTTCGATCGTTGGTTCCATCTGCTTTATGAGAGAGTTGGCAAAGAAGTATGTAGCCTGTGCTATTTACTTTGGCAAACTTTGAACTACTTTATAATTAGCCTGAGGACAAGATCTATAGATACCTACATCAGTCTGTGGTTTATAGTCCAAATCTACTGTGTTTTCATATTAAGAATTCTAAAACATTGGTTCACTTTGGTATTTAATATATTATTATAACTAAGTTATGCTGTTTATTACCTCTTTGTATATTATCCTAACATCTAAATAACAAATAATTTAAATGTAATTTTCTATATAAATAGTTTTTTAAAAAAATAAACAAAATCAAAGTTTAGAGCTTGACTTTTAAGCAGAGGAATAGAACTTTTTCCCCCAAACTTTTAGCTTTTTTTTCCTTCTCTATCGTGAAGGGTCTGTTCACTTCAGGAAATCATATTTTCCTGGTTCAAAAAATATTAGTCATTTCATATTTATGCATATGCTAATATATATATACTGCATATGGACTTTGAACTCTTCAACAGAATCGTGGAAGTTTAGGAAGTATAGGAATAGTTTGTGTTGCATTTGATCTAGGTGCTAATAAAATTCTGGCTTATTATTTATCTCTTCTTTTTTTAATTGTGTATGGTCATCTGCAGAGGCAGATGGACCACCACCCTTGTGCCAATCTGTGTATGCTGTATTCATTCAAATCTATTTTTTAATTGCCTATTATATGCACTATCAGTAATGAATGAAACAAAGATCTCTCTTCCCATAGAACTTATGTTCAAGTAAGTTTACAAAGAACAAAGCATTTTCTGCACTTTAATCTGTATGAAAGGAAGAACATCTTCTCCCTCCTCCAAAAGATGCCTTGCTGTAATTTTTAAACAGAGCTTTTATACTATTTTTCCTGTACAATTGAAGAAAAAAAACATATTTTTACCAATAGGCTGCCTCTCATTTACAAAAGGTCCCAGTTGCACTTTTTAATCCATCTTTTTAAATTTCCCATGATAGTTGTAGCCATATGTTAACTACTCTGTAGATATTTCTTCAGGGCTTTATCCTTGAAAAATTGAAAGAAAGGATGTGTGCTTAAAATGAGATAACTGTCAGCACTTGGCCAAATAGGCAGGCAACATGTGATAGAAACTGGAATTTGGATGTAGAGACTGACATAATTTATCACCAAACTTTATGAGGAAAGTATATGACTGTCCTTATTTTATAAATTTGAAAGTAGGTTCTCAGAGTTAAGCATTCTGACCCAGTTTCTACTGCTAGTAAGTGGGTGGAGTCACGTTTGGCCCTAGTTCTTGCTTATATTAGATGCATTTCCATTATGTTAAATTACATCCTGTAGATGATTTCTACAGCAGAGGCTTGTATGTCTCCACCCTTTTACCCTCCTTTTCTTCCTGCTTGCTTTTGCACATTCAAATATATCGTGAATTCTTTTTATTCTATCAGTTGACTCTATTTTAGATGGGTTTAATGCTCACCTTATTGAATTGGGTCAAGCCAATGTTAGCAACTGATTTCCAGAAAACATGCTTAGTACCCATTTTAGTGAATACTTTTAAATAGTACACTTTTTCTCACTGTCCAGATAAAGATCCCAACGTATTCCTCCTGGCTGCTATCAAGAGTAGCTTTAATTTGCTTATGTTTCATTTTGCTTCTCTAGTTCACTGTCTTATGAGAGTTGCCAACAAACCGTAAAGTGGTCAAATATTAGGCAGTAAACATGAGAAGAGGAGCAAGGGACCCAGAGAATCCACAGCAAATTGATTGGCTTACGGATACCCTAGAGTTGCTTAGCTTTGTATTTCTCCAGTACTTTGACTATAATTTGCATAGCTCATGTGAGACGAATACAGAATTAATTTTCGTTTCTGCATAAGTTAACTCATTTTTTTCACTTACCCCAATTTTATTGTATAGAAAATTACAATCTCTGTAGATGGCTGTGGTACAGTTCTTGACTCCTTGAGAATTTTATTCCTGATTTTCACAAGTATTTAACTTTTACATACTCTGCTTAGTAGTCTTTACCTGAGATAATATTGAATTCATTCAAGAGCCTTTTCCATAAATTTAGAGTTTATTTGGTGATTTGTTGAACATAGAGACTGATTTTTTCCTAATTAGATATGTATAAAAATGACTGCTATCACTGTCAGTGTGTTTAGGATTTTAAAAGGGGATTATATTCCAGGATGCTCTTCCTTCATGCTTATACATTTCTATCTAATTTATTATTCACTTAACAAATGTTTATTGAGTCCTTACTCCGTACTGATTAGATTACTGCTCTAGGCCCCTGAGATACATCAGTGAAAAAAAAAACAACAATTAAAAACTCCTTGCCCTTCTGGAGCTTATATGCTAGTGTGTGGAGACACATTGTAGACAATAAACACAATAAACAACTAAATTTAGAGGGTATAAGAAGATGAGAAATAAACAGAGTATGGAGGCTTGAGTGTGCTGGTGTGGAGGGTGAAGGTAATTTTAAATGTTAGCCAGTGTTGTCTTCTTTTGGGCAAAGCCCTGAATGAAACGAAATGAGTATCTGAGGAAAGAACATGGCAAAGAGCAAGCACAAAGGCATTAAGATGAGATTCTGCCTTGTGTATTTAAGGAACAACTAGGGGTATGGTAAATCTGGAAAGAGTAGAGAGAGCGAGGCAGTGAGATTCGGAATGATCTGACTTTATGTTAAAGAGATCACTCTGGCTGACTTATTGAGAGTAGGTTGTAGGAGAGTATGGAGGAACCGGGAGAGAAAAGAAGAGGTGGTTGTAGCTTGGACAAGATGTCAGCCTGGTCCAGGCTCAGACCAGAGGAGTAACAATGGAAGTCACAGTCTTGATATATTACAAACATCACATTTCTTGCTCATTTGGTTATGGGCTGTAAAAGAAA